ACTGCCACACACCTCACCCCGAGTCGCCAGCCTGGGCAGTGCCTACCAGGCGCGCAGTCTCCTGCCCTTTGCTCAGGGCCCTGGGAAGGCCTCTGCTCAGCCTGCCTCCAGGACTGGCCCTGCACCGGGACAACTGCCCGCCCCTCCCCTTCGCTGTGCCACCAGCTCTCATTCCTGCTCCTTAACTCCTGTCTCTGAAATCCAGACTCAGAACCCCCTTCGGTACATGTTCCCCTGGGGTACTCCCACGCTCCCCTTCCACACCTCCTGCTCCCGCTGGCCTCCCCGCAGTGCCCCCTTCACCCTCTGACAGTGCTCCTCCCCGCAGTGCCCCCTTCACCCTCTGACAGTGCTCCTCTGACAGTGCTCCTCCCCCCAGTGCCCTCTTCACCCTCTGACAGTGCTCCTCTGACAGTGCTCCTCCCCGCAGTGCCCCCTTCACCCTCTGACAGTGCTCCTCTGACAGTGCTCCTCCCCGCAGTGCCCCCTTCACCCTCTGACAGTGCTCCTCTGACAGTGCTCCTCCCCCTTCACCCTCTGACAGTGCTCCTCTGACAGTGCTCCTCCCCGCAGTGCCCCCTTCACCCTCTGTCAGTGCTCCTCCCCCCAGTGCCCCCTTCACCCTCTGACAGTGCTCCTCTGACAGTGCTCCTCCCCCCAGTGCCCCCTTCACCCTCTGTCAGTGCTCCTCTGACAGTGCTCCTCCCCGCAGTGCCCCCTCCACCCTCTGACAGTGCTCCTCTGACAGTGCTCCTCCCCGCAGTGCCCCCTTCACCCTCTGACAGTGCTCCTCTGACAGTGCTCCTCCCCGCAGTGCCCCCTTCACCCTCTGACAGTGCTCCTCTGACAGTGCTCCTCCCCGCAGTGCCCCATTCACCCTCTGTCAGTGCTCCTCCCCCCAGTGCCCCCTTCACCCTCTGTCAGTGCTCCTCTGATAGTGCTCCTCCCCGCAGTGCCCCCTTCACCCTCTGACAGTGCTCCTCCCCGCAGTGCCCCCTTCACCCTCTGACAGTGCTCCTCCCCCCAGTGCCCCCTTCACCCTCTGACAGTGCTCCTCTGACAGTGCTCCTCCCCCCAGTGCCCCCTTCACCCTCTGACAGTGCTCCTCCCCCCAGTGCCCCCATCACCCTCTGTCAGTGCTCCTCTGACAGTGCTCCTCCCCGCAGTGCCCCCTTCACCCTCTGACAGTGCTCCTCCCCCCAGTGCCCCCTTCACCCTCTGACAGTGCTCCTCTGACAGTGCTCCTCCCCCCAGTGCCCCCTTCACCCTCTGACAGTGCTCCTCTGACAGTGCTCCTCCCCCCAGTGCCCCCTTCACCCTCTGACAGTGCTCCATGAAGCAGGGCATTCCCCAGGCCCACCGGGCCTGGCCCCCACAGGGCGCCCCGCCCACCGGGCCTGGCCTCCCCACAGGGCGCCCCGCCCACCGGGCCTGGCCCCCACAGGGCGCCCCGCCCACCGGGCCTGGCCCCAAAGCTGTAGCCAGGGTGGCCAGAACCCTCTCCTTCCTGAACAGCCCCTCACGTGACTTCAGGAGATGAGGTATGCTGCCCTCCGACAGAGTCCGACCTCAGCTCAGCCCTGCCCGCCCCGGTGCCCCACACATGCAGGCCTCCCCCAGGCCCTGGTGTCACCATGGGGACTCTGGGTGGAGAACTGACTGGCACCAACATGAAGGACTTCACCCTGAGTGAGGAAGTCCTCATCTCTGACCTGGAGTCAGGTGTCTTCTGCAAGCATCCATGGAAATTAACGGTAACCTGTTAGCCTGCTACACGTCACTCAGGCCCCTGTTAACCTCCCACTCGCCCCGCTGCAGGCAGACAGCACCACGGGCAGTGGAGGCCACAGACTGTCGCCCTGGAACCCGGCCAGACCACCAATGAGTGGACTTCCAGAATTCTGAAGCCTGCTGCACGATTATAGGGATCAATTAATAACTGTGCTCTAATCATTTTTCCTTTCCAAGAAAAGATGTTAAGTTTTTCTTCCCTTTATTAGCATTTACTTAGTGAAAATTAAACAGCAAATCATCCCGTCCAGTCCCCGCGGCCCTGCCTCCCCGGCGGTGGCGGTGCTGAGTTCCTCTCTGCCCTGGAGGAGGGCATCGCCGGAGCCGGAGCCCCGCGGTGGAGGCCCCGCCCACAGCCGCTCCGCACGGCCTTTCCGCCTGGACTCCGCCTCGGCCTGGTCTTGAGCATCAGTTGAAAACAAGAGAGACAGCTTATATTTTATGTAACATTAATGATGTTATTTATAATTTCATTATATTTTAAAATCCTCACCCAGGGAGTGAGGGTGTTTTCCCCATTGTTTTTAGAGTGGGAGGGAAGGAGGAAAGGCGGGGCGGGGGAGAAACAGCACTGAGAGCTTCGGCCCCCTCCTGGCGGGCGCCCTGGGGAGGGCCCATCATTAGGCAGCAGGCCTGGGATCCCTCTCCAGCAGGGCCTCCTTTGAGTTCCCAGGGCAAACGGAACGTGGGAGGAGGGGAAGGGGTTTAGAACTCTGTACGTGACCGCAGCACGTTTTCCAGAAAGATCCGCCTGCCGTATTAGACAAAGAGAGTGGAGGCAACTGGAAAAGGCCCAGCCCATTTTAACACCACCCAGGAGAAGGTAACAAGATGGAGGCGCTGCGTGGGGAAGCTTTCCCCACAGCGCTCAGCCGCTGAGGAGCCGGGAGGGCTCGCACATCCCAATGTGTGATAAACAGCCTGTGCTCCTGCTCCCGTGGGCCTGTTCAGCCAGGCACCTGCTCTTCCGAGACCACGCTGAGCATCCGTACGCTGGCCCCATGCCTTTACGGGACTCAGACAGGTGAGCGCTTCTCACAGTTATGTCAGTCTCAAAGAGGTTTCCTCCGGGCAAAGGAGAGACGTTGCTGGGAGAGGCATGCTCTACTCACCAGAATGAAGACAGTGAAGAATATGACGACGATCGCAGCCGTAATGAAGAGCTTCTTCCGGGGAAACACGGCCGCAGGAAGGAGAAAGACCAGCGCGAAGCAGATGGCCCCTCGGAGCCCTCCGTAGGCAATGATGAACTGGTCCTTAAAGGTCAGGGGGATTGTCCGGAACCAGTTAATGGCCTGAGTCAGGACAAAGACACCTGAGAAGCAGAACAACCAAAACACCGCTGTGTGAGCGGGTGTGAGGGTGCAGACTCCTTCTGGTGCCTCTGTGCAGAGAGGCCTTACGTGGCTCCAGGCCTCTGCCCCCTTCCTCTCCTCGCTCATAAGACCAGGCTCTTGGTAAGAGCTCCTGGGCTAAAACGTGGATCAGAGGAGCCAAGAAAGGTTAACTTGACTTATAACAAAGGCCTGAAGATGCTGGAGGAAGAAAGATAAAAAGGCAGAGGGGGATGAGAAGAAAGAGGAAAAGAGGGAAAGAGAAGAAAGAGAGCACTGTGGGGAGGAGCACTGTCAGAGGGGAGAAAGAGGAAGAGAGGGGGAAGGGGAAAAAGAGGAAGAGAGGGGGGAGGGAGAAAGAGGAAGAGAGGGGGAAGGGGAGAAAGAGGAAGAGAGGGGGAGGGGAGAAAGAGGAAGAGAGGGGGAGGGGAGAAAGAGAAAGAGGGGGGAGGGGAGAAAGAGGAAGAGAGGGGGAAGGGGAGAAAAAGGAAGGGGGGCGAAGGAGAGAAAGAGGAAGAGGGGGGTAGGGGAGAAAGAGGAAGAGAGGGGGGAGGGGAGAAAGAGGAAGAGAAAGAGGGGGGAGGGGAGAAAGAAAGAGAAAGAGGGGGAGGGGAGAAAGAAAGAGAAAAGAAGAGGGAGGTGGAGAAAGAGAAGAGAGAGGGGGAATGGGAGAAAGAGGAAGAGAGGGGGGAGGGGAGAAAGAGGAAGAGAGGGGGGAGGGGAGAAAGAGGAAGAGAGGGGCGAAGGAGAGAAAGAGGAAGAGGGGGGAAGGGGAGAAACAGGAAGAGAGGGGGGAGGGGGGAGAAGAGAAGAGAGCAAAGAGGACAACAGACGTGGGTAAGGGGGGAAGAAAGAGGAGAAGCGGAAGGAAGAGAGGGGGGAGGGGAGAAAGAGGAACAGACGGGTGAGGGGAGAAAGAGGAAGGAGGGGGGGGAGGAGAAGAGGAAGAGGGGGGAGGGGAGAAAGAGGAAGAGAGGGGGGGAGGGGAGAGAAAGAGGAAGAGAGGGGGGAGGGGAGAAGGAAAGAGGAAGAGAGGGGGGAGGGGAGAAGGAGAAAGAGGAAGAGAGGGGGAAGGGGAGAGAAAGAGGAGAGAGGTGAGGGGGGAGGGGAGAAAGAGGAAAAGAGAGGGGGGAGGGGAGGGAAGAAAGAGGAAGAGAGGGGGGAGGGGAGAAAGAGGAAGAGAGGGGGGGAGGGAGAGAAAGAGGAAGAGGAGGGGGGAGGGGAGGAAGAGAAAGAGGAAGAGAGGGGGGAGGAGGAGAAGAAAGAGGAAGAGGAGGGGGGAGGGGAGAGAAAGAGGAAGAGAGGGGGGAGGGGAGAAAGAGAAGAGAGGGGGAGGGGAGGAAGAGAAGAGAGGGGGAGGGGAGAAGAGAGGAAGAGAGGGGAAGGGGAAAATAGAGGAAGGGGGGAGGGGAGAAAGAGGAAGAGGGGGGGAGATGAGAAAGAGGAAGAGAGGGGGAAGGGGAAAATAGAGGAAGGGGGGAGGGGAGAAAGAGGAAGAGGGGGGAGATGAGAAAGAGGAAGAAGGGGGGAAGAGAAGGCGCGTGAGGAGCTTGAAGACGGGACGGAAGATGAAGCAGCAGCGATGCAGGGTGGGTGAGAAGGACGTCCTGCTCTTTTAGTGAGTTGATGGTGTTCTTTGGGGCAACGTGCTCCTCACCCAGGGCTCTCCAGAGCAGGCAGAAGGCCAGCGTGAAGCCCACGAAGGCCCAGTTCCACTCGTGGTTCTTCCCCACGGTGGACACGCCCATGAAGATGAAGATCAGGGTCTCGCTGACACTGCTCAGCATCTTCATGAAGTACTTGATGGTTGTGTAGGATTTCTGAGACACGTTCTCCTCCACATACTTGTTCATGGTCATTGCACAAGTGGTGATTCTGCAGGGACAGATACAGCTGCCATCAGGGACCCTAATCAGAGCATGAGTGGCACTTGAGACTAAACATGGCCTTCCCTTCAGCCCTTCTGCCCACGACCACAGCATCATCGCCGATTTCTGTAATCGGACGTGGTTTGCCTCCTTGGGAGCCCTGCCATCTCTGGCGCCTCCTCGGTACCCATGGTCTGAACTCCTTTACCCAGCTTTGTCCCGCCATCATCCTGCTCCAGATCCACAGGACCATCAGCTATCCTGTCAGCAGCACAAAGAAAGCAAATCCTGGGAACTCAAAGCCTGCACTTTCTACACAGCCAGTCCCACTCCTCCTCTGCTCCGGTGCCTGAGAGGCTGCCCTGCCTACGGTCCTCACCTTGGAACTACTGAGCTCTCCCGCATGCCTCCTCAGCGCCCAACCCCCAGACTCACACCCCCACCCACCACGCAACTGGTCACCAGTTGTTTTCTAGCCCTCATCCTGTGTCTCTCTCTCTCTCTCTCTCTCTCTCTCTCTCTCTCTCTCTCTCTCTCTCTCTCTCTCTCTCTCTCTTGCTTTCTCTCTCTCTCTCTTGCTTTAGCTCTGGGTCTCATTTCTACTTATCCATTATATCCACTACTGGGAGATGTTAAGTGTGCTACGAGGCTCTGAGAATTTGTAAAGGAAAGAAACTCTTCAGCTTGTTTTCCCAGCATTTCCGAACGGGACCACACTGCATCTACTTGCACAGCCCCTGGCACAGCTGGTGAAGGAAGGCTCTGGCTCAGCTCCAAGCGGGGCGCCCGAGCTCTCACACTGCTCTTAGGGGACAGCTCCAGCGCCGCTCCTGCCTCTCTGCCCCTGGCACTGCCACCTGCCTGGCTGTCTGTCCCCCCAGCCCTGGCCTGTGCTGCCTCCGCCTCAGCGCACAGCCCCCCATGGCCACCGAGGCGGGCGTCTCCTCTGGGCGGGAAGGGAGCGTACACGGGCGCCGTTGGGAGAGCCAGTTACCATGAAGGTGCCCAGAGGCCGCCGCCTGAGGGTTCGGTCCAGGGAGAGAGGACGGCATCCGAGGGGGTTCCTTCCCGGAGCCATGGCCCTGCTGCTGGGAGCTGGGAAGCTTCCTGCATTCCACCGTTAGAGCGAGGCCCGACTGGCCCACGCCAGCATGGCAGGAGTCCTCCCACCCCCGGAGGTTCTGGGGTTTAGGGAAGTTGTCTGAGTGCCAGCACAGGTAGGAGGGTGAAGACTGACAGGTGACCACAGACCTGTGCTCCATACGGACATGTGGGCTCATTTCTGTGCCCAGTGCAAACAGAACCAACGCCCGCCAAGCAAGGACCACGCGGTCAGCCCAATGTCAGTGCCCCAGACTGGCAGAGAACACAGGGCTCGTGTGGCCGCCAAAGGAAGGGTTCTCGTTAAACACACAGCAAAGCCCGAGGACAGCTGTGGGCTCAGATAACCATCGCCAGTGCTTGCAGCACCTCTGCTCCGCGGCTCTAGCGCTGGGCAGACTGCCGCACAGGCAGTTCAGACGCCTAGCGCCCGCTGCCCGCACGGGTTCTGATCGCTCACTGCACAGACGAGAGAGCAAAGGCAGCCGAGGCCCCCTGCTCCCGACGGCACTGCCGAGCACGAGGGCCCTGGCTGCCACAGAAGCTGGTCCACAGCAAGCCCCTGCTCTCTCCACTCCGCACGACTGCTCCTCTCTGAGGAGGAAGGCTGCCTCCCGCCCAGCCCTGCTCCGCCTCCCCCAGCCAGCCTGTCTGCACCGGCTCCTATGGTCGCCGGAGGAAATGACCAAGAGAGTGACTGACAATGCCGTACATCACCTCACATGTGCAGGCCGGAAGTCTGAACCCCGGTCACTGGCTAAACCCAGGCTCCGGCTGGGTCTTCCTGGAGCTCCAGGAGAGTGCCCTTCGCCCACTCCGTGTCCGGAGGCTGCTCGCAGTCCTTGGCTTGTGGCTAAGCCACTGGCCTCTGCCTCCCGGGCCTCATTTCCTCCTCTCACTTTGACCTTCTGCCTTCCTCCCACTAGTACCCTCCTGGGCAACCTAGCGTCACCTCGAGCTCAAGATCCCCAAGCCTTCACATTGGCGAAGCCCCTGGGAAAGCACTTGCAGGGTGAGGAGGAGCATCTGTGGGAGCCAGGGCCCAGCTGCCCAACCATTGCTGGCACTCACCTCCCCGTGGTGGTGGCATGCCCCGGGAGAGTGTGGCCAGAGCTGGTCCTGTTCTCAGTGACAGGAATGGGCAAGAGCTCTGTCCACTGACTCACCGGAAACATAGGCCCCCGCCGCCTGCAGCCCACCGGCAGAGGTGGGAAGCGGCCTCTCTCAGGTGAGCCTGCAGGGGGCGCCTCGCCAGCCCCCCTGAACAGAAGCCACTGGTTAACTACAGTTAACTACATCTTCCTCTGTCATAGTTGGGTTAATTTTTCTTTAACCAGAATTTTAAAGGCAAGATTTACTCAGTATAAAATAATGAGGGAAAAAGCCAGAATCAATTACAAAGCTGAGTCATGACATGTGCTATAGGGGAGAGGCATACCCAGCAACACAAACTACTGAGCCTTTCTCAAGTGTGGCCACTTTAAAAATTCAAACAAAAATGATTATCCTGGCCACATTACATCTTGAAATTCTCTAATCCTATGCACATGAGGCTTCAAAATGATTTTATTATAAAGCATTTAAGCTTACAGGCAAAAATGAAGAAAAATAAATGGCCAAATACTCACTACCCAGCTTTTCCAAATCACTTTCACCTTTTAAAAAATATAATTGAAATTCTTTATTTAAAGTATTACATAAGTCTCCTCCCCCCACCCCCCGCCCCATTGTCCCCTTGTTGCTGGTCCCACCCTCCAGCACATGCGCTCTCCCCACTACTGTCTGTGTCCATGGGTTATGCTCATGTGCATGCAAGACCTTTGGTTGATCTCTTACCCCTCTCCCCTTCCCTTACAGGTTGTACAGTCTGTTCAATGCTCCTATGACTCTGACTCTATTTTGTTCATCAGTTTATGTTCATTACATTCTACAAATGAGTGAGATCATGTGACATTTATTCTTCCTCTGACTGGCTTATTTCGCTTAGCATAATGCTCTCCATGTCCATGCATGTTGTTGCAAATGGTAATAATTCCTTTGTTTTTACAGCAGCATAATATTCCATTTGTGTAGATGTACTGCAGTTTTCTAATCCACTCATCTGCAGTTAGGCTGTTTCCAAATCTTAGCTATTATAAATTGTGCTGCTATGAGCATATATCCTGTCTGATTGGTGTTTCTGTTTTCTTGGGATATATTTCTAGAAGTGGGATCACTGGATCAAATGAGAGCTCCATTTTTAATTTTTTGAGGAAACTCCATACTGCTTTTCACAGTGGCTGCACCAGTCTGCATTCCCACCAGCAGTGCACGAGGGTTCCTTTTTCTCTGCATCCTCACCAGCACTTGTCCTTTGTTGATTTGTTGATGATAGCCATTCTGACAGGTGTGAGATGGTACCTCATTGTCATTTTGATTTGCATTGCTCAGATGATTAGTGACTTGGAGCATGTTTTCATGCATGTCCTTCTGTATGTCTTTTTTCAAAAAGTGTCTATTTAGGCCCTTTGCTCATTGTTTGATTGGATTGATTATCTTCCTTTTTTCAAGTTGTATGAGTTCCCTGTAAATTTTGGAGTCTAACCCTTATTGGAAACAACATTGGGATATATGTTTTACCCTCCAGTGGGCTTTCTTGTTGCTTTGTTGATGGTTTCTTTTGCTGTGCAGAAGTTTTTTATTTTCAGGTAGTTCCATTTGTTTATTTTCTCCTTAATTTCCATTGCCCTAGGAGCAGTATTGGTAAAGATATTGCTACAACATATGACTGATATTTTGCTGCCTGTGAATTCCTCTGAGATTGTTATGGTTTCCCATCTTATGTTTAAGTCCTTTATCCATTTTGAGTTTATTTTTGTGTATGGTGTAAGTTGGTCTCTTTCTTTCTTCCTCCTTCCTTCCTTCCTTCCTTCCTTCCTTCCTTCCTTCCTTCCTTCCTTCCTTCCTTCTTTCCTTCCTTCCTTCCTTCCTTCCTTCCTTCCTTCCTTCCTTCCTTCCTTTTAATGTATCTATCCAATTTTCACAAGACCATTTAATGAAGAGACTGTCTTATCTTGACTTCATTGTATGCCCTTGCCTCCTTTGTCAAATATTAATTGAGCATAATGGCTTGAGTCAATTTCTGGGTTCTCAGTCCTGTTCCATGTCTGTTTTTGTGCCAGTACCAGGCAGTTTTGAGAACCATGGCTTTTGTTGCAATTGTAAATGGTATTTTTTTTTATTAGTTTTTCTTTCTATGAGTTCATTATTTATACATATAAAAGCCAAGTGATAAAAAAAAAAAAAAGCCAAGTGATCAGAATGACCAGAGTGACCAGAACAGCCGAAACAACCAGTTGCTATGACACACACTGCAGCTGGCCAACCAGCCTTCTCGGGGGTGGGGCCAGTTGACCAACCTCCCATGGCCCCACCCCTAGGCCGGCCTGGCCCCGATTGGCCTTGTTCTGGTGGGCCAGCCAGACCCCACTAATGCATGAATTTGTGCACTGGGCCTCTAGGTGATGTATAAAAAAGACATAGATTTCTGGGTTTTAATTTTGTATCCTGTTACTTGCCAAATTCACTAAGTCTAGTGTTTTTTTTTGGTGGAGTCCTTAGGGTTTTCTATGTATAATATCATGTCATCTGCAAATAGTGACAGTTTTTCTTCTTTTCCAATTTGGATGCCTTTTATTTCTTCTTCTTGTCTAATCATCATGGCTAGCTCTTCCAGTACTATGTTGAACAGGAGTGGTGAAAGTGGGCATCCCTGTCTTGTTCCTATTCTTAGGGGAAATGGTTTCAATTTTTGCCCCTTGAGTATGATGAGCTTTGTCATATATGGCCTTTGTCATGTTGGGATGTGCTCCCTTGATTCCCACTTTGCTGAGACTTTTTATCAGAAATGGGTGTTGGATTTTGTCT